CTTTGTGTTTAGACTTGGGTCCCATCTCCAAATACCTTATTATGTATATGCACATATTTCAAAGTCCAAAAAAAAAAATTCAAGGCACATTCCAGGTATCCTGGATAAGAGTTACCCAATCTGTAGTAGTTTCCTGTTCATTCACAATTATAGTATCTTTTTTATTTATAATAGTGGTTGTGCAACTCTGAATATACTAAGACCTACTGAATTGTGTACTTTAAAAGAGTTAATTTTGTGATATGTGAATTGTAAATGTTAGTAAAGCTGACATTAAAAATATCTTTAAAATATTTCTTGGGCCAGCCCTGTGACAGAGTGATTAAGGGAGTCAGATCCTACATGGTCAGCTGGGATTTGAATCTCAGCCCTCGCAGCTTGAAAAACACGCAGGCTACAAGTGCATGCATGACCCAGATCCCGGCGGGATAGAGACACGGAGGGAGTGGGAACTGTGGCATAACTATACCCCCTTAGGGGTGCTTTCTCCCTCTCCTTCGCTTTCTCTTTGTCTCTTATCTCCGGTGAGCACATACACCCTCTGAAAATAAAAATAGTAATAATAATAATAATAATAATAATAATAATAATAATAAATATTTATCCAGGGACCAGCAGATGACATAATGGTTATGTCGCTGGACTTCCATGTAGTCGACTATGATTCGAGTCCCAAACCCAGTGACTTAAAACTCGAGCCAGGCACATGTGCATGCATGCCCAAAATCCCGAGAGGAGAATGGAAGAAAAGGAATTGCAGTGTGGCTCTCCTCCCTGGGTGTGTGTGTGTGTGTGTGTGTGATTTCTCACTTATCTCTAAGTTTCTGGCGAGCGCATGTTCCCTATAGCAAAAACCCCTCAAAAAAATTAAATATTTCTCCAAAGATACTAATCATCTTTTTGAAGCTTTTTTCCCTCCCTGCATAGCCTTTCTTTTTTTTTCTGGTTTCATTTTCTGTGTTTCATATTAAAGCTTTCCCCAAATATCTAGTGGTCCTGGGCTGTCCACTCACCGAAGAATAGGGGGTTCACAGGCTGGATGCTCTGTTTGCCGGTTTGCTGACAGTGAACCTCAGTGTCAGATGAATTGGCTGGACCCTTTCATTCAGAGAGCCCAGTTTCAGGATCTATCCCTCTGGGCTTGTCAGGTTCTTCAGAGAAGCTTCTTTCAGTCTCCTGCCTAGAAGAGTATGAGACTGGCTGCCAGCATTCTGGGAGCCCTAGGGGGTGACCGAGTCTTAAACATTTCACAAGCAAATATCAAGTCCCCTATTTCCAGTGTGATATTCACACTTTCAGTTGTGCCTGGTATTTCCTAGTCCACAGTTTCTCTGTTCTACTCTGTGTTGAGAATTAACCTTTAGGCTTTTGGGAGGGGATCTGCTGTTTTCTTTTCAAATTGCCATTGGGCGTGTGTGCTCACCAGAGACAGAGGGAGAAAGCGCCCCCAATGGGACATGGTCATGCTATAATCCCTTCTCCATTTCTCTAGTCTGTTGAGATTTGGGGCACGCATGTACACACACATCCCCTGTATGTTTTCCAAGCCACCAGAGCAGCGACTCGAACCATGCAGTCGACCATGCAGGATCCAGCTTTCTTAACCACCCAGCCAAGGTGCCAGTCTACATTTTTGTTTTCTGATGGAAAATTTTCAACATAAAAAGTAGAGACAGTAGTACCCTACGTACCTAACTAGCCAATTTCAATAGTTACTGACTTGAGGCCAATTTTATTGGCACTGGATCCCACATAGTCAACTGCCCAGTTCAAATCCTGGACCTAGAGGCTTGAGAGACAAATTGGGTGCTTGCACTCGCCAGAGAGAGAGAAAGCGAGAGAGGGAAAGTGAGAAATTACCTCCCAGGGGACTGGCCACACTACAGCCCTTCTCCATTCCCCTCAGGATTTGGGGCATGCAGGCAAATGTGCCTGGCATATCTCTCAAGCTGCCAGATCCAAATCTCACACCGCGCAGTCAGCCATGTGGGATCCAGCTGCCTTAATCTCTGTACCACCTTCCGACCCCCCCATTGGATACTTAAATATTCTGTGGCTTTCAATCATCTTTTCTCCACACTGAAGATTCCCTGATCCTTCAGCTGTTTCCCACAATGCAATTTCTAGCCTTCTCTCCATTCTGCTCTTTCCTCTGATCTCTTCTCCTTCATTTCCTTTTGGCGTGTAGTTTCAAAACTTAACTGCTGGGACCAGCAGTTAGTGTAATGGCTATGTCACTGGACTCCCATCTAGTCGACCGCGGTTCGAGTCCCGGACCCGGTGGCTTAAACTCACACCGGGTGCATGTGCGTGCATGCCCAAGATCCAGAGGAGAATGGAGGAGAAGGGATTGCAGCGTGGCATCCGCCCTAGGGGGTGATGTCTCGCTTTCTGTCTCTCTGTCTCTCTCTGTCTGGTGAGCGCACGTGCCCTATAGCAAAAACCTCTCCAAAAAAAAGGAAAAAAAAGGGACCAGCAGTTAGCGTAATGGCTATGTCGCTAGACTCCCAGGTAGTCGACCACGGTTCGCATCCCGGACCTGGTGGCTTAAACTCAGGCCGGGTGCATGTGCATGCGTGCCCAAGATCCCGAGAGGAGAATGGAGGAGAAGGGATTGCGGCGTGGCCATCCCCCTTGGGGGATGATTTCTCGCTTTCTGTCTCTCTGTCTCTTTCTGTCTGTCTGGCGACCGTACGCGCCCTATAGCAAAAACCTCTCCAAAAAAAAGAAAAACACCTTAACTGCTGATTGGGTCTAGTCACAGGAGAGCTTGATAATACATTTCTCCTTTTGAACTTTATACTTTAACTAGGTTAGTCTTTGATCCTGTGAATCTTTTTAAAATTTATTTAACTTTATTTATTATTTATTTTAATTTGACCAGAGAGGGATAGAGCAAGAGTAGGAAAGAGAGAGAGAAACTGAGAAGGCAAGCCACCAGGTCCAGGACTCGAAATGTAGTCAGCCTTGTGGGAGTCAGCATCCTTAACCACCATGCCACCTGCCGGCCCTGGTCCTGTGAATCTTTTGGAGACTCTTGTCAGGTTGAGCAGAGGCAAAAAGAATGCGGTGATTCGTCGCATGTTTCTTAGCTCTCTTTCCTCTGTCCTGCATTTATGACCGTGGTTTCTGAACCCGATATGCATTTGTCCCTATTAAACACTACATTGTTCAGAGGTCTGTGATGGAAATGAGTATTTGTGTCAGTCATGAAACTTCTATGGGATATTTTCATACTTCAAGGAAGAGAGAAATAAAGAAATGGGACAGCATCTTCAGGAAGGGAGAGGGTTACTTGCAAAGGAGAATAGACTCCTAAAGTAGCTCACGTGAGGGAAATCTGTGTGTGTTGGCACAGGGCAGGAGGACAGCAGCAAGGATGAGGGAGGAACTGAGATGGGGGAGGGCAGCTGCTAAGTGAGGAGAGTCTTGTAGGATGTCTTGGGAAGTGCTGGGGTCAGGGACACCAGAGGCTGGAGGTTAGAGAGGAGAAAGGGGATGCTCTTTGTACACTATTGTGCTTTCACTCTGGGCTCTGTTCAAGCGTTATGTAATCCAGGCAGCAGCCTGTGAGTTTGATCCTATTTGCTCCATCTTTGAGATCAAGAAGCTGAGGTTTATGGAGATAAAGAAACGTATGTAAGGTCACACAGCTGGTTTGAATCACAGAGCAGGATTCAAACCAAATCTCATGCTACATGCATTCCCTGGCTGACCCGACATGTGGTTAAAGGTTTGTGAAACAGGACTGTGAAGCACATAAATCAAGTTAGCTATGTCTAAGAAATACTTAAAGGAAAAATCCCAGCTAAACCTGAGGTGCTTGTTTAAGCCAATTCTTTCTGCTTCGTATCTGGAACTTCGCTACTGGTTTGAAAATTTTTGCAGTGGCTGCCTTCTGAAATAACTTGGGAGGAGGTGAGGTTATTCTCTTGGGGGAGAGATGAGATGATAAAATGTATGTACACATATGCTTGTATAAAGAGTCTTCATCATGTTTATGGAAAATTGTATTATGAAAACACCACGGGGCCTACAGGTGGTGCGGTTAAAACACTGGATGCTCACATGGCTGACTGCAGTGTAAGACCTGGAGGCTTGAAAAATCATGCCAGGTGTGTGTGCTCAAAATCCCAAGAGGAGAATGAGGAGAAGGGATTGCCATGTGGCCATCCCCCTGGGATGTTATGTTTCACTTCCCCTCTCTCTGTCTCTCTCTGGTCAGCATACATGCCCTATGACAAAAACATCTATGCATAAATTTCAAAATTTTCTTTTTTTTTTTTAAGAGGTTTTTGCTATAGGGCGCATGCGCTCACCAGAAAGAGAGAGACAGAGAGACAGAAAGCGAGAAATCACCCCCCCAGGGGGGATGGCCATTCTGCAATCCCTCCTCCTCCATTCTCCTCTCGGGATCTTGGGCACACAAGCATGCACTCACCATGTGAGTTTAAGCCACTGGATCCGGGACTCGAACCACGGTCGACTACGTGGGAGTTCAGTGACATAGCCATTACGCTAACTGCTGGTCCCGATTTTCAAAATTTTCTGTGCCAGAATAAACTCATATTTAATTTCATTTTTCCATGAAGTCTCCTCATATGCGTATGTCCGACAAAGCATAATGAGTTACTATTCTGAATATATTTGCTCTTTCAGTGATATATGTGGGCTCTTCTTTGCCAAAACAAAAACAAAAACAAAACACAAGATGATCTCTGGTCTCGGGGCTGGCAGGTGGCATGGTGGTGAAGGACACTAGACTCCCACATGGCCAACCGCAGTTTGAGTACTAGACCTGGTGGCTTGCTTTCTCACTTTCTCTCTCTCTCTCACTCTCACTCTGGCCCTCTCTGGTCAAACTAAACTAAATAAATAAAGATAAGTAAAGTAATTCTTTTTTTAAAAAAGGGTGATTTCTGGTCTTGAGAATCATTTTTTTTTTGTCTGATTGTTTGTTTTTTAATGGTGCTGATTTGCTTGTATCACTTATCTTGCAGGCCTTTGCCCAGTTTGATGCTGAGGGTGATGGTACAGTCGATGCTGAGAATATGTTAGAGGCCCTCAAGAATTCCAGTGGAGCTAATCTCCAGGGCGAACTGAGCCATATCATCAGACAACTACAAGCCTGCTCTCTTGTTCCAGGTAAGGCTGTTGTCTAAGTGCCAAATACTCAAGAATGTGCTCTTAGAACAAAATGAACTTTGCTGTACTTACAGACTGAAGGCACATGTGCAGGGCCAGCAGATGATGTGGTGGTTAAGGTGCTGGATCCCACATAGCTGACACCACAGTTCACATTCCAGACCTAATATCTTTGTTTTTTTTTTTTTGGAGAGGTTTTTGCTATAGGGTACGTGCGCTCCCCAGACAGACAGAGAGAGACAGAGAGACAGAAAGTGAGAAATCACCCCCTAGGGAGGACGGCCCCACGCCATAGTTCCTTCTCCTCCATTCTCCTCTTGGGATCTTAGGCACGCACGCACACGCACCTGGCACGAGTTGAGGATCCCGGGTCCGGGAATCAAACCACGGTCGACTACGTGGGAGTCCAGCGACATAGCCATTACGCTAACTGCTGGTCCCCAGACCCAATATCTTGAAAAATAAGCCAGGGGGGCTGTCAGGTAGCATGGTGGTTAAGGGCACAGGACTGCCACATGGCCAAGTGTGGTTCGAGTCCCAGACCCGGTGGCTTGCTTTCTCTCTCTCACTTTCTATCTCTCTGTCTCTCTCTGGTCAAAGTTAAATAAATGAAGTTCAATAAAATAATTCCTTTAATTAAAACAAAAACAAAAACAAGGTAGGCATGTGTGTGTGTATATGGGTGTGTGTGCCCCAAATCCTGAGAGGAGGATGGAGAAGAAGGGATAGTGGTGTGGCCATCCTCCTGAGGGGTGGTTACTCACTTCCCCTTTCTCTGTTTCTCTCTGGTGAGTGCACACACCCTATAGCAAAAACCTAGAAAAAGAAGGGCACATGTGGGTGTGCTGAGTGTGCCCTAACAAAACTGAAAAAAAAATTGCTTGTGTTAATGCTACATGAAAGGCAGCCAGGGGAAAGCTTAGGACATCTGAGGAGGAGTATGAGCAGGAGATGTTGAGGTCAGTGCCTGGGCAGTGGCCAAATGGGACAGATTTTAGAGAAGTTACACTGAGTAGAAAGCACTGGAAATGTGGGGGGGCACTTGGAGAGAGTGTGTAGGGGGATAGGGGTACTTCTAATCCAGCCCCCTTTTCAATGACATTTTGGTGTATCCCTGAGCTTTATTTCCCTCAGATATAAAACAGGTATACCTGTATCTTCCATACCTACCCTCTCGCCTTATTAGATGACATATGCAAAGTATCTTAAAAATTATAAGATGCCATTGGAAACTGTGGTTGGTTATATTATCATCTTGTGTAGCTTATATAAAAACAGCTATGGTTTTACTTTTGCTTTTAATGAAATAAACTTTATCCATAGCCTATATTCTATATATAATACTTCTTGAAGTTTTCTTTTATAATTATTTAACTTTCAGTATTATCATCATTATTATTTTCCAGTTTGATCAGAGAGTGAGAGAGAGAGAGAGAGGAAGTGAGAAAGCAAGCCACCAGGTCCGAGACTTGAACCGTGGTTGGCCATGTGGGAATCCAGCACTCTTAACTACCATGCCACTTGCCGGCCCCACTTCTTGAAGTTTTTAAGAGTTTGATCTGAAACAAATAGTTATTATCTTTATTCTTCTAAAATTCTATGCTACTAAAATGAAATTAACTAACTTTGGGTCTTTTTACTTTTTTTCTTCTTTGCCATAGGGCACATGCATTCTTTGGAGAGAGAGAAAGAGAGAGAAATATAGGTGAAGTGAGAGATCACTGTCTAGGGGGAAATGGCCACACCACAGTCCCTTCTCTTTCACTCTCCTCTTGGGATTTTGGGCATGGACTCATATTCACCCACTGTGATTTTATTTCTTTCATTTTGTTTTTAAAGAGATTTTTGCTATAGGGTAAGTACGTTCGCCAGAGAGACAGAAAGCCAGAAATTATCTCCCCGGGGGGGAGATGGCCACACCACAGTCCATTTTCTTCTCGGGATTTTAAACACTCACATACACACCCTTGTTGTGAGTTTTAAGCCTCCAGGTTCAGGACTTAAACTGTGGTAAACCAGGTGGGAGTCCAGTGATGTAAGGGCGGGGACTCTGCCTGCTTGCAGCCCATTGACTGGTTCTCAGAGGCATCACTGCCTCTGCCTCCGGTCTTAGCCCTGGAGTCTTGGCTCCCTCCCTGGAAGCACAAGACGAGACTTGCGTGGGAAGAAGGGCCCACGCTTGCTGCCTCACCTGTGTAGTATTACACCATCTGCTGGTCCCACCCAGCATCATTTTTAAGTTGCTGGGTCCGAGACTCAGACCACACAGTTGGCCATATGAGACCCAGCTGCCTTAACTACCACAGCTGGATCAAAGTTAATTAACTGTTGGGACCAGCAGTTGGCATAATGGCTATGTCGCTGGACTTTGACTGCAGTTCGAGTCCTGGACCTGGTGGCTTAAACTCACACGGGGTGCAGGTGTATGCATTCCCAAGAGAAGAATGGAGGAGAAGGGATTGTGGCGTGGCCATCTCCCCTAGGGGGTGGTTTCTCGCTTTCTGTCTCTCTGTCTCTCTCTGTCTTTCTGGCGAGCGCACACGTCCTATAGCAAAAAACTCTCAAAAAAAATTGAAAAAAAACCTAATTAATTGTAAATGACTTCTTTTATAACTCAGCCAGTTCAGATAGGCCACCAGGTAGGGAATGTGAAAACTATTGTGGTGTCTTCATCAAAACTCTAAAAATGGATTTTTGTCTCCTTAGGCTTCATAGACATATTTTCAGAGTCCAAGGAGGGCCTCGGTGTTCACTCATCAATGATACTGCGCTTCCTACATCGCAATCGGATCTCTAGCCTGGTGATCCCCTACCCCATGTTGGACCACTGCAATAATATGTCCACCATGAGGTCTTCTGTTCTCAAAGAGTCTCTGGATCAGCTGGTACAGAAAGAAAAGGGTATGCGTATTGAGGGAGGGGGTTTCCTGAAAATACTCTTACCATTTTTTCTAAACTTTATTTATAATTAATCAGATGAACTCATCATGTTCCCTGCTTTTATTTTTATAAATGTAATAGTGATCAGTTTGTGCATAAAAATGTGCTCTATCTATCTAGATAGATCTTTCCTTTTCCTTGAGGCGGGGTATAGACAGGTCCACAACACATTATAGAGTCCAGAAATAGACTCAAGTACAGGTGCGAATATAGACCCAGAGAAAGCATCGCAAGTCAGGATGGAAAGATAAATTGGCAACAAGTGGGATTAGAGGTACTGGTTAGCCATTTGGAGAAAAAAATAAAACTAGATTCTTAATCCATTACATTCACTAAAATATATTTCAGATAGGATCAAAAAATTCAGCTAAAGAAAATGGAAGAGTACTAGAAGGAAATAGTTCCACTTTATAAAATAGGAGACAGCCTTTCTAAATAAGACATGAAATTCAGAATCTGCAAAATAGTATTAATAAATAGAATTGCATACAAATTAAAAAATGTTTTTTTAGTTTTATTAAAGGGAAAGTGCTCTCACTGGACAGAGACAGAGAGGGGGAAAAGAAATAACTCCCCAGGGGAGATGACTACACTTCAGTCCCTTCTCCTCTTAGAATGTTGGACATACATGCATGCATACATTCAGTGTGTTCCTCAAGCCGTGGGGTTAAGGACTCACATTGTAGTCATCCACATGGAATCCAGCTTCCCCAGTCACAAAGCCATGGGGCCTACCCATGAAATATGTGAATTTGTAAGAACACTAGTGACCCAAGGAAAATAGAAAAGTGTAGGACCAGATCATTCTCAGAAACACACCTTGGCTTAAAATGCCTCCCTCATAATGAAAGAGATGCAAATTCAAACTAAGACATTTTTCCTGGCATGGCTTTATAGAAATATTTCAGTGATTGAATTATTGTAGTATAATGAGATAATGGACCAACCCTTGGCCAGTACGTTCTTTGAAAGGATATTTGAAGGAACTTTTAATGTTTCTAGGGCCAGAGTGCCAAGCATGTGTCTGTTACGTATTTTAAGTGACTCTTTTTTTCCTTTGTAAAAAAAGGTAGATGATAAACTCTGGTTTT